GATGGAAAAGTATTCATCAAGTAAAGAACAAGATGAAATGAGACTTCAGTTCTCAAGTTGATGTCAGCAACTTCAGCATGTTTTAGAAATGGATCACTCAGTGGAAATTTATCAATTATATATGAACATGCAGTTACAAAAAAAAGCTCGCACAGAATTGAAAAATGATTTCACTTCACTTTCATTCAACTTGGCATTTTTTAAATATAGTCTTGTTTCCGCACCAATCACTAAATTTTCATTTTCTTTTTGTTTACTATACTTCTGAAATGAAATAGACGTTAGAGTAACATCTTCATTTTCTTTAGAAATTACTGATGGTTTTAAGAATCTAACAAATAAATTCATTAAAAGTTCAAAAAGTTCTCTTCTCAATTTATGTATATAAGGAGCTTGTTGTTGCAAATTAATATTTACTGTTATAAACAAAGGCAAAGTATTTTTCAAAAATAACAAGTACAATTTGGTTGTCAGTGACTGTAAAATTTTTTTAATGTTTTGCAATCTCTTTCCTTCATTCTCACTGTTATCTGGTTTATCTCCAAAAAAATTTATCACAGCATCCCACTGTTCCAAAATCCTTGTTATAGATTCTAAAAGAGACAACCATCTTGTACTGCAATATTTCAAAATTTTATGAGATTTTGCATTCTGTCCCAAAATTTGTTGAGCAACTTTGAAGCTATGCTTCCGTTTCGAACTTTTCTCCAAGTAAAAATATATATCTATTATCAACATTTCAATTTCTGAGCCAATTAATTTTCCAGTAGCTTCTTTTCGCAGCTATATGCAAGAGGTGGCACGGACAACCTCGGGTGATTATACTTGGTTGATGCATTTTGATAAATGATGCTACACCTTTAAACTTTCCAATCATATTACTAGCATTATCTGAAGAAAATGATAAGCAATTTTTCCATTCTAAACCTTTGTTTTTAAAGTTTTCATTTATACAATTAAAAATACCTTCTCCTGTATTATTCGTGCATTCTAAAATAGAAATCAATGAAGTAATTATCACTCCCTTTTCTTTACTGTAGTATGTTATAACCAATGGGTACAGTTTGTTATCATTGTTATCATTACTTCCATCAGTACTTAGAGAAAATGATGTACTGCACACTGATTTTATAATATCAGCAACAGTATTTTCTGCAAGCGTTTTCACAATAGCAGCAGTTTTGGTATGACCGCAGCTAAATTTTTTTGCTATGGCAGAATCCGGAAACATTGCTTTGAAAAGCTCTTTGGAATGATCCGAAACAGAAAGCGGTAGATTATGTTCAATTAAAAAACGAACAAAACAGCATTCGGCTTTTATAGGATCTGTTTCATCATCTTTTATTAAGAAATTTGTTATTTCTTTAGATTTTACGGTGCCAAGTTCTATATGCTTTTGAGAAAACACATGCCGTTTACAGTCATCTTTTCCGCCATGAGCAACTGAGAAGTCTTTGTTGCATACACTGCAGTGTGCGTGATTCACAGAAATTTCGGACGCTTTAATGCATGGAAATTCTGAAGAATATGAATCTTTAAACTTCTGCTTTGATAATTTTGGCTTCTTCGTTCGAGGCAGCATTATGATTAAAAATCTTTCACCTGATTCACAGTTCACAAGACACACACTAAGTCTCGCTGTAAACTACACAATGCAGCCGAATGCAGCCTAAACACACATCAGCGAGGAACCTGGGAGACAGACAATTGGGTGGAACTATTGATAAGTCGTTAACGGTTGGAGTTACTGATCTATGATTGGCTAATTCTTCAAAACTAGGAACGCACTCAACACGTGATATATGATAACATGAGTATTCAGCCAATCATCGGATGAATTAGTTGGTTCCGTTTTGCGTACTGGTTCTCCTGCTCTTGTTTCTGTAAAATCCGTAGTTTTTTCCATACTTTTCGTAGCTCGTAGTTTTTCATGAATTTCCGTAGAAACTACGGAGAATCCGTAGTAGCTGGAGTCTATGAGATCATTACCAGGTGGAAAATGTGGGACACCATGAAGGTCCTGGATGTACCACTACTGCAGCTGATCTCATGAAGCCGTGGACTTCTACTATATAGGACTATGTGTGGTTCTTCCATACTTCTTTCTTTCTTTTTTTTAAAATTTATTTTCAGGTGCTGTCTTGATGTTCCAGTGTTGCTGATCCGTGTTTTCGTGGACGAAAAAATGTCAGGATGGACAAGTTGTAGTATCCGTAAGTGCAGAATAAGGAACTGTAGTTTTCCACACGAAAAAATGTCAGGATGGACGAGTTGTAGTATCCGTAAGTGCAGAATAAGGAACTGTAGTTTTCCACGCGAAGGTGGTAAATTGAACTGTTTAATACATCAGCAAGTGTGAGTAGGCACTAATCTGTTATGTGATAAGACTGGTAAAACTATACAGAATCCTGTTTGTATCAAACGGCACTTGTGTTTAATCTAATTTGTACCTTTTCTGATTATCTTTATTAAATGTTCTGTGGTGTGGAAAATAACGTTGGAATTGTTATTTAGCATCTTCAACTCCCCCCACTACATATATATTCTACTAGGGAAACTCTTAATGCCTGTAGAGCATCAAGATTACAAAGGACTTCTTTTTAAAACAACACATATTGACAGAGCGTGAAATATGAACAAGCTTTCAATATTTTATAATCTTTTGAACTTAGTATTAAATAAATATGCATTTTGGCGTAATGTACTGGAAACCGATGTCATCACAACATATACAAAATTGTGTTAGCAGAGCCTGCAGAACATAAAGATGCTAATATCTTGATCAATTAGAGGCTGACAACAATACCACTTTACATGACAAAAGGAATATTCTACAAAACATGTTGTAAACCTTGGTGTTAGTTTTGACAAGTTTGTTAGTGCATGCTAACGAGGTCTCAGTAGAATGTGATACACATCTAATTGTGTCTGAGGTGCAAGGAATGTCATCAGGAGAAAGTGAGGAGGACAATATTATTCCACCCGCCTGCCAGTAAGTGTTAGACGTCTTGAGCACTATGAAAATTTTGCTACAACATCCAAACTGATCACTACTTTTATGGAAGCCATGAGTACAGTCGGCCATGAAGTTTCCAAACACTTTTGGTTCTCATCGGCGACAGCACAACATACAGAAATGTTTCACCAGAAAAAGATCTGTGAGTACATTTTTTTAGGTTACAGTACAGTAATTCCTTACAGTATTGCAGTGATTTCTATGACAACAGACATAATATACTGCAGCACAAATGTGCTTATATACTATAAATAGTTAACGTGTAGAAAAAAATATTCAAAAATAAAAATTTTAGTCTGGAGTTAGCACAAACTGTTGATTTTTTGGTCCCTAGGGATTCATGTTAACAATGCTTTACTGCATTTATATGTGAAATTGTTTCAATATAATTAAAAATATTACTGAAACTATAGAAGATATTTTACTCAGGTTTAATCTAAAATTATAAAATTTTTGCAATCAGAAGATAGCACTTACTTTATTTTATACGATCAAGATGATTACAAATATATTTTTAAGATACCAAATTAATCTACAGACTTATAAAGAACTAGCAGCTAAAAGAAAATGTTTGGCAAACATTTTGTAAGCATGATGTTAATTCTTGGAAAAACAAAAGAAACTTACATAAGAAGCTGAAAGAACTGAGGAAATAATACCATAACCATTAAGCATTTTTAACTATTCTCGAAACCTCTCTCAAAAGCCTTTAATTACAAATGTTCAGGACAAAAATAAAAGAGAGTGATATCATGTGGAATAATAAACACATCCTTCATATGCATATTTGTCTAATAGTATGATCGGCATGTGCTTTAGTGTTTGGTAAACAAATATTGTCTGTGTCATATAGTTCCTCTTTATTATGGTTCTACTAGAAGCTCTCTATTCTTAGAGCATAACTCCCCATAACATCTAGCTTTTCTCCAAAATAAAAAAGCAGCTCAAAGTCACACTTGCTGACTTGGCGTGTGGATTTTGAAGGTAATTAGAAATTGATTGAAACAAATTAGGTGTGTAACAGTTTTTTTTTTTTTTTTTTTTTTCTAATGCACTTTAGACTGGATACTTTTTTAAAATGGCCTTTCGAACCTTTTTAATAGTCTACATTTGTAGCTTTATGAAATTAATGATAATTACTGACAGCATTTTAACAATATGTTAGAATATTTAGAAAATATATGCAGTCAGCTTGATTCACATTTATTTAATATTTCATGTATCAGTAATCATAGCTTTCTATCGTATGTAATGAAATACCACTCTCATTTATATTTTTCAGTAACAATACTATTGGGGAGGGGGAAATGTGATAAATTCAGTACATTACATTTCAAGAAGGGATTATTTAGCTTGAAAATTATACCGACATAAAAGAGTTTCAATGAAAAGTGAATTTGTGTTCATGTTACATGCAGCAAATTCATGAATCCACATATACTGGCTAATCTGCTTTAACTACCAAATTGAATATATCACCATTCAAAACTTCTGTTTATTTAAAATAGTTTAATTAATATAATAAAAGTATTATAAAATGGTTAAATGAATTATTTTAAAGTATTAACCTAGAGAACAAATACATGGCTGCTAATGAAGTTATAAATTCAGCACTTCTGTTTATGTTTTTCTTTTTTTTTAATATATTTAAAAGCAATTACAATTTAATAATTTTAATGAAAGTCCATGTTCATATGTACTATACAGAATAAATAAAAGAACCATCAATAACTGCATTTTAGAAGTATTGCAATGTTAATAAATATCCATGTATGAATGAATGATATATCATGAAGTAAGACCTGCAACAAACAAGTAAATTTAAACTAAGTTTAATAAATTATTTAAATTCATTTTTTGGGCATTACAGTGTTATTCCAAATGCCTTTGGTTGAAAGTGATTTAATAAGGAAAGTTATATACATGTATCTTTTTTTAAAAGTGAATATAATAAATAGAACTAAAAATAAATAAATAAATAAACCTGAATCAAGGCTCTCTTGCACAGTCTGAAGGAATGGCATAGCAACTGAATGTAAACCAGACACATGTGAGCAGTGGTATTTAGTATGTGATGTAACATCTGGAAAAATAATTAACTATGATCATTAAGAAGCAATATACTATAAGAACTTCATAAACTTTTTTCAGCACATGCTAAAATTTTAATTATAAATATAAAATTTACTTTGGAATAGATAAAAAAATAGGACTTTTTCTGCACCAAATGAAGCAGGTTAAAAAAAAAAATAAATAACTTTCACACAGTAAAATCAAAAACACCATACAGGACAATTTTAATGAAGAAAATTAGTATAATGTTTATTTAAGAACATACTTTGTAAGAAGCCTACTCTTTTTTCTAATAAAGGAATTAAAAAGTTACACAAAATGTAAAATTTCAGTTATGCTTTTGCCATGGCCAACTTCAGTAAACATAAACAAACAATGGTGTGATTTCCTAACCAGCAAGTGTTTGAAAGTGACATCTAGTAATCTCATGCGAGAAAAATTGCTTTATGATACATCTTACTTTTTTTTAGTATTACATTCCCCATTCTTAGAGTTTGGATGAAAAAAAAAAAATATTTTTGCTGGCAAAATGGAGATTAGATTATTCTGAATATTGAATAATATGCAAATCAAAATTTTAATTTGCAATAACAATAATCTCTTAACTATTTTTAATTTGGTGATTTCTCATTTTCATCTTAAAAATAGTTCTAAATTTTGCATCTTAAAAATAACATTTTGCTTTAAATTTAATATTTTTCGAAACTTTGCCAAGTACTGCAGGTGGCAACCCTTTACCACCGGACCGTTTAAATTCAGATGCTCCAATTGGCTGATAGCAAATCCCTCTAAAATCAGAATTTTAAAATTTATCCAAATCATATGATTCTTGTATAATGCTTCAGCCAATAAAAATTTGAAAATTGAAAAATGAAGCTTATTATTATTAATGAATGGGAACAAAGCTAAGCCAATATCAAATCATTATGAATTTGGATTTCATCTTGGATACATTCTCTCTCTCTGCTTGTCTGTAGCTAGACTGATGTCACTGCTACTCTTCTTACCATAATTTCTTGAAAAATTCATTCAAGAATGGGCTTAACAAAAGTTTATCAGGATTCATCAAAAGTTCTTATGAACAAGAATAATGAACTATTAAAATCAGCCTAAAAGGTTTTAACTAATGTTAACTAACTTTAATGCTACTTTATACATCTCCATGTCAACAACTTTTAAATAATTACACATTTATTTTATAAACATAGAATTAATTAAGACACCATAACACGCCGAATAAATACTAATTCAGAAGTCAAACAACAAAAATCAGCGTTATATTTACAAAATTTTCACAGGACTAGTTTCGATGGTTTTACCGAACCACCATCCTCAGCTGCAAAAACGCAAATGAACAAGATAGGAAATAATGATTAGATAAGATAAGAAAGCTTGGACAAGAATAAGCAAGTGGCGCCATCTGTTGGTGAAACCAGAACAAAAACATAATTTCTTTAAAGGCCGAAGGCAAACTTAGATTGGAATTAAAATCGTGCAAAGAAAGATTTTTATGAATAATTTTGGCTGCAGAAAAATTGAAAGTGTGATTTTCGGACCAACAATGTTGAGCAACAGAAGACTTCTGTGTTTCCTTTTTCCTAATATATGCCTCATGTTCCTTGATGCGAAATTTTAAGGCTCTCTTAGTTTGGCCATTGTAAATTAAACCACACTAGCAAGGAATCCTATAAATACCCCAGGAATTCATATCCGGAATGGGGTCCTTGAGTATGGAACTCTGAATTTTGTTGATGGGAGAATAAACAAACTGAAAGTTAACTTTCTGCAAAATATGTGTAACTTTATAGCTAATTGATGGAAAGAAGGGAATGAAAACAGAATTTTTATAATCTCCTAAAACAAGAGTGTGCCTTTTAGTGTGTTGAGATGAGAATTTTTTAACTGCTTGATTAATAATGTTGGGTGAAAAGCCCCTGTCAATAGCTATTGCTTTTAAGTAATTTAGTTCTTCATCAAGGGCTAGTTTGGAGGACTCCTAATTTGAAATTACTATGTGATGAAAAACAACATCGTTCTTCGCAATTATGTCAAAATATGTAAAACAAAATTTACTTTAAGTTTTAAATGAAGATAATGGCTTGTCTTTAATTATGTTTTTGTTATATAATTATTTTGCAATTTTTGTGTATGAAATAAACAAACAAATAACTTGAATTTTGATTTTTATTTAAAAAATAAATTTTGTTTTGTAAATAAATGTTTTTTTATAAGGTAGGTTGCGAAAAAATTAAAAATCTTGTACCGGGCCGCGGTCAAAAAAGTTTGGGAAACACTGCATAGATGTTTCTCAAGAATGAAATATTTTGAAAAATATGATAAATATATAAAAAATGGCTAAACAGATACTTAAGACTGATATAACACAAGAGGTGAAATTTATGTCTATATGAAAAACATATTACTATCCACCATTAAAAATTATTGTGCAAGCAGAAGAAAAGAATCATTTCAACCATTTTAATGAAGATTCTTTAACAGTTTGCATCCTTTTAGTGTTTGAAAAGTTTTCTTGTTCACAACATTTTGCATGAAATTCAAAATCACAATATTTTAATTTATTCAGCATACTTATTAGTGGTATGCCTAAAAGACACACTTGGATTAAAATGTGAAAAAGACTATCTGAATGCAAAAGATAATGCAATTGATTTAAGAAAAGTAATTAGACTGATGCACAAATATTGGTACTTATATGTTAGCATACCTGCCTTGGCTCAGTTTGGGGATCGCTTTGGTAAGAAAATAGTCATGATTTAATAATTCTGGGAAAAAATATAATTACATATTTACATATTATTATATGTATATACTACTAAGCTATATACTACCAAGTATATACTTACTAAGCACATTATAATTTATTCCCAAAAACCAATCAACAATCCTTCTTAACAAAAGTTTTTTTTTCGCCTCCCCTTCTATTGATCCAAATTTCAAAGCAGTCATTTTAAGAAAGCAATTGTTTCCTTTAGCAATTATGCAACAATAAATAAATAAATATATAAATAATTATAAATAAAAATTAATTAAAAAACTACTGTATTATTCAGAAATTATACTACAAACTTTCCTCACACTTTGAACACAAGTGCATATTTTAAAACTGAATTTGAAACAAAATATGCCACTGCTTTTCTATAACAACTTTTCAAATACAACAAAAAAGTACTCAAACAAAATTTGGATGAACTATTACATGATCATTCCCTGAAGAATTGTTATGCCCATGGTTGCCAAAGTTTGGTGCATTATGAAAATTTGGCGACTTCTAAGTCGGTTGTGTTAATACATAAGTACCCTAATATTTTCTCCTTTGCTATTAATTCTTCATGTGATACTCTTAGACACTAAACGAGATACAATTCTTATCTTAAATGAGCACAATGAAAAGACAGTAAATATTTCAAGTTATTATTAACATGATTTATTATCCAAGATAATATATAAATGTACAATTTAAATTGTTACAGAGATTAAAAAATTTTTAATGGCCAGGTGCTTTATTTTGCTTTTAAATCACCACAAATTTAATTTAAAAAAAATAAAATTTACCATAAAATTTTTAATTAAAATAAATATTTTATATAATACATATTTAAATAACAATTTATATAATAATTTTAAATCAATATACCTTCATACAATCTTATAGGATGACTGTATACATCATCTTGATCTCCAGTTAAAGACAATGGAAGTTCTATACTTTCAAAAACATATAAAGCCACATCATGTTTAACAGAAGGTTCATACTCCCAAGTTACATCTGGCTGTAAAAAGAAACAAATTCGCAATTAAATATAATTATATATATATATATATATATATATATATATATATATAAATAAAAAAAAAAAAAAGGCTTCAGTTGTTAACAATTTAATATGATAATAAAACTTTATATCAATATAAATTCTATAATAACTAACATGTCATTTATATATAATAGCAGATTAAATAAGAGCAAAATAGTTAACAGCAGTACAGTAAGTGTTAAAAAATTTCACCTCCTTATAGTCTTCAAAATATGAAATTCATAATAATAGATTAAAGTCAGGTTTAAATGAGTTTGTTATTTAACTACACGACATCAGAAGACATATTAGTTCAAAATTTTATACATACAGTAGGAATGGATCGTATTGAAATATAGGCTACCAATCATTCTGAATTATAACTATGTTTTCAAAAGAATGCTTTTTTAAATTGACAAATAAAACTTAATTACTTATTATTGACATAAAAGTAAAAGAATTTTAACTTTGTATTATTGTGTAAAGTTCAGAATTGTGTAAAGTCTATTTTAGATTTTTTTGGGGTAAGAATGCGAGAAATCAGAAATGCAATTGCCTCAAACTCCAGACCTTTCCCACTGATATCTGAACGTGCATCTTATTACACCATGAAGGCACACAGTAAGGAAGGAGAAAATATCATACAATTGTTTTTTTTTTTTTTTTTAAATATAAATATACTGGTAGTAACATATGCTAAAAAAAGTTCTTTTGAAAGAGACAAGAGTAAGATAATTTACAAAACCGTATAATTTATAAAAATGGTATTTTAACAAAATATTTTATTAAATTTTGAATGCACAGTTATTTTATTACTATTTTAAAAATAATTTCTTGCAAATAAAAAAAAAATCCCAACAACAACTGGGGGGGGGGAAGAGATCAACATCAGATTTTTCAAAGGACAAGTTAAAAAAAAAAAAAATCTCATTAAGAGTAGACTCAAAACTATACCACATATTTAATACCTACAAAAAAAAGAGGGGAATGTTTTTATTTTGCATAATACTGTCCCTTCTAAGGTAAATCTACGCTAAACAGCTTTAAGCACAGCTTCCAAAACTTTTAAACACTTTTAAATTTAGAGCTTTTTACAGAATTTTATGTCAATTTTCATATCTATATCTTGCTTACAAACTGAAAGTACTAAATACCAACTAATTTCTTTCCTTCAGTAAAATTCTTACAAAAATAATAAATAAAATAATAAAAAAAGGGGGGAACTTTTATTTTCAAAGCAGCTGAATATATTATATCAAGCTGAACAAAAAAATAATGAGACTGAATTTTGATAAGAAACATTAAATGTGGGAATCGTGCCTCAACGAAGCACCAGATGTCGCTCTCTACCTCTACTCTGTACGAACTCTCCAGGTTCCAGGATCTTCAGCTGGTTCGAGAAGTCCGAGAGAAGTGGTCTAACAGAACACTCGCGAAGGAGCTACAACTAGACGCTTACTGGTCGCGCGTAGGCGATCGGACTTTTAACTTACCTAAAGTGACTGCACGTAGGTGGTCAGCTAAGACTTTAACATCTCCATAGTGGAACCAGTGTGATTATTCTCCTAAACATATTTAATCCATTTGTACATACTCATTCCGTTTATCTTTTCTTCTACGAGGATTGGAACTTTAATAGTGGCAACACAGCTGAAAAAACGCTATGCAACAAAACCAAAGAATATCGCGTATACCACACGTCAACTACATACCTACCTTACCTCTCAGCAAAAAGACTCGTCCTGCCTACGTCACGCACATGCAGAGTGATGTGAAGAATGGATCCTTGTATTAGCTCGCGGTCTAAAGTAAGTGTTGTTAGGATGTTTTCAAAATAAGAACAACGATGTTGGATAAAAATTAAATGTGCCAGAGGTCTTACAGCACGACAGTGTCATCAAGGGCTTCAAGAGGCTTGCGGGGAATCTGCATTGCCTTACAGAACCTTAGCAAGATGGGTGAAAGCATTCAATGAAGGACGCCAAAACGTGGCAGACATGCTGCAGCCAGATCGTCCGAGTGTCAGCGATGCAGACGTGAAAGCTTTTGCGCACTAATGGACAGTGATCGCCGCCAAACGATTCGTCAGCTGGCGGGACAAACAGGATTATCGCATACGACTGAGCTGCACATTCTGAACGAACGCCTGTCCATGAGAAAAACTGCTTCACGATGGGTTCCACATCAATTGATGGAAATGCAGAAATGCAGAAATGGCTACGATACGATGCTGCCTGAACCCACCTAGAGCGCTATGAACGCGAAGGAGATGCTTTTTTATGCCGTATCCTTACGCTGGATGAGACTTGGGCTCGATCATACCAGCCTGAACTGAAACGCCAATCAAACGAAAGGCGTCATCACGGGTCACCACGACGTTCGAAATTTCGTCAGAACACCAGCAATGTGAAAGTTATGGTGATTCTCGTGTACGACTGTGATGGTGTCATCCTAACGCATACCATTTTCCCACAGCAGACCGTCACTGCGCAATATTACTGCTCATTTTTGGAGCACAATCTCCAACCAGCTTTGAGAAAAAAACGGCGACACTTTCTGCAGAACGCTCCTCTCATTTTGCATGACAATGCTCGGCCGCATGCAGCGCAAGCTGTGACTGATTTGTTCAAGCGATGGGGCTGAGAAGTGCTTTACCATCCACCATACTTCCCAGATCTAAGCCCTTGTGACTATGACTTAATTCCTAAGATGAGGGAACCACTTCGTGGCACTCGCTTCCAAACTGTTCCTGAGATTCTTGCGGCAGTAGATCGGTCCATTCAAACTATCAACAAAACAGGCGCTGCTACAGGTATTCTGCGACTTCCACATCGTTGGAAACGGGTTGTACACAATGCTGGCGACTATATTGAAGGACTGTAAAACATGGTGACATGAATCACTTTTGTATTCCTTGTAAATAAATAGTTGCCACTATTAAAGTTTCAACCCTCGTATAAAAAAGGAATAAAACCTGATGCTTTGTATCGTGAGTGTGATCTCTGTTTGATGATAAGACGTCACCCTCACATAAATTGTGCAAATTAATTTCAATCTGTGAATATTGTACATACTATCTTTACAGTTTTTCAGTACTTTTAACTCCAAAACTGGAAATATAATTGTTTTCTTTAATAAAAAAAAGTTTATTGAAGCAACCATTCATTTATAATACGAAGAATATCCACAAAGAGTATTTGGAAAAAAATAAAACATAAGGTGTACAGAGAGATGCTTATTCGTGTTGACGCTGCTATGAAAGAAAAACATCAAACTGAGTTCGGGCACAGAGAGGTAATGTTCCATCAAGATAATGCAAGACTACATGTTGGACTCTCTATAGTCTCAGATGGGATCTTTTGTGACGACCACCATATAGCCACGACACCACTCCTTCGGAGTTCTACTATTTTTAATGAGGTTGATCTGTTTTTGGACTTGGCGGCCACCATGTTTCTGGGCAGAAGGCTTTAAAAAATTACCAAAACATTGGCAGAAAAAATCCTAGATTTGGGTGGTGATGACTACCTGCACTAAAGGTACTGTTTTCATGTTTTTTTTTAGCTGAAAGGGCATTAGCCCAGAAGGGCTATTAATTTAATTTTGGCATTTTGCGTCAAAAACATTAAAAGTCTGAATCACTTTTCAAACTGTTGCCACCAAATATTATTGTCTTGTAATATATTTACAGAAATTAAATAATGAAGAATCTGCATAAATGTATGAATGTTTTTTACATTATAATAAAACAACAGTATTACAGCCATCAAATTTTGAATAATGTACGTCTCCACCCCAAAGTGATCATCTGGAAGCCCAAATTTGGAATTTGTTTTATCATTTATTTCATATTTTGCAAAGTATTTATGAGTTTTTGATTAAGAAACTCAATGATTTCAAAGCGAGCAATGGCAACACTGTACGATAAAAACATTTTTATCTCCAGTGTGCGAGACTGTGTATCGAAATACAATTGTAATTAAAAATTTAAAGGGTTTAAATTATTTGGAACATTGCTGTTGAATTGAATTTTATGGTTTAAGTCCAAAGAACATGATATTTAATAAATAAAGTTGTACGTTACCACAAAATGTCAAAAAAACGCTCTTTGGGCATAATACGAAATCTGAATACTTTCAGATTTTATTTCTTTTTCCTAACTTTATTAAGAATGTTTCTTGGTAGAAAACTTTCATTAGAACCAGATATATACTAAAATGGTTTATAAATTACTCACAGGAATGGGCATGACTTATGTAAGATGTCCTGAGAATGTATCTCAGGATATTAGAAAATGAAAGATTACACACTACTTTCTTGGCATATATAATCTCTTGGAAACAGACACTTAAATTTTTTATTTATGTTATAAATTGTCTATTAATTTATCCATTATGATAATTACTAAAATCAAAATCAAAATTGATAAATCCCATTATGATGATCACTAAAGGTACAATGTATTCACTGATATCCCTGGTGGTGCTAATCTGAACTTTGGTGAAAATTTTCTAGATATCAACAGGACATTAGACAAAATACAAAATGTTTAAGCAGAAAAGACAAAATAATTTTAGGCTGACATTTCCCATCCAGAAAATATTCTGGATACTGATGTGACATCGCACAAAGTTTTCAGTTTCCTACATGAACTCTATGGGTTCTGAGTGATACCCACCGATATTCAGAATGCTTTCAGTGTTGCCTTCCCAATACATATAAGAGAGTTTCAATATTTAACTTTGAGACTTTTTTAAAGGGATATAAAGGGAAGAAAGGGGATACATATTTTAAAGGGATTTAAAGCGGGATTTTTAAAAAGTTACATATTTAAATACCAAATATTTTTTAAAACTATTATTTCATTTGAGTTTAAAGCTTTACAATAAATACTCACATAAAAGGATTATTGTACATGGTAGCATTTTAAAAAATAAAAAAGTGAAAAAATTGATTTATTTCACTAAATTTATAGCCAGTCCCTTTTTATACAGTTCACATGAATGAATAATTTATAATTAAAAAAACTGACCATTTTAAAAATTTATAATTAAATTTCAGGTAATTAAAGCAGCCTCATAATTTAGCTGAACTATTAAGGGTTCTAATATTACTAGGCTACTCAACAGAGTTGATTGTACTCCAGATATCACACTTTTTTCCCTAATTATGTTTGTACTAGAAGTTGTACTTCCCACAGAAATAAATGGGAAATTTTCTTGCAGACATTTTAATGGAAACATATTAATCAGAAATAATACTGGTTAATTACCTGATGCACCTTATTAGAAGAATTATCATTTTCTAATACCAAGCAGTGATATAATATACCAACAGTAGTTGCAATAACAAGACAAGTCGGAGAGGTTTTCAGGCATAAAATAGAACAAGCATCATAACCATAATTATCTTCTGTAGGTGGATACATTGCCAAAGGCCCCATTAATTTAGCTGCTGAGTTATTAAAGCTGAAATAGAAAATAATCACTATCAGATATTACATAAGTATTTTTCAAATTGTTACTAATACATAAATTGGGGGAGGATGCAATTGTTATATTATATATTTTTTACACAAAAATGACATTAATTCCTCTTTCAAAATATTTAAAAGCATTCCAAGCCTGTTACAGAAGGGAAAAAAATAATTAATAAAACAAATAAAGGAATAGTATGAGAAACCAATGAACCAGTGATAATCACACTGCATTTTTCATGTACACTGCACAAAAAGAAAGGGGGGGCAGTTATATATCTCTCATTCTATTGGGTTAACTGACAAAATTCAAACTACGTTTTTCATGTCTCGGAAGCACAACTTAGAATATATATTAGATTTATATATAACATTAATTTAACATAGGTATTTTGACACAAAATCGGACCTTTTCTGAAATGACATGCCAATTATTTTCCATATTTCAATTCTACATCTCAATTTATGCCTAGATATTAACCGTTTGAGTACGGCGAAGTGCTATCGCACTTCACTTGTCGTATGCCAAATATACGGCGCAGCGCTTCTCTTGTTTTGTATCAAGAATGTGAAGACGCTGGTGTTGATTAGTATACTTTACGCAATTATTGAGAGCAGTTGTAGTGATATCAGTAGCAGTTGTTTTATAGGAATTGGAAATTGTTTTCATTTTTTTACCAAGTGTTATGCAGCGTGTTCGCATTCTCGATACAAAACACGAGAAGCGCTATCACGCTGCGCCGTATTTTTGGCATATGCAAGTGAAGCGCGCGCTGGACTCAAACGCTTAAATTTTGAAATTTTTAGTGAGAAATTTAAAAATTTATCTTGCCACATTTTTTTTCAGTTTGTGCCAAGAATAATTTACTTGGCGAACTTCTTAATTTATAGCAACCTATTTTCATTTTCTTGTTTTTATTGTACATGAGTGAAAAAGAAGGTCACTGTTCATTACTTTCAAATAATTTTAACAAAGTGTATAAACACATTTGGCATTATTATCATTTATAACAAATATGCCAAATTTCAAAATGAGCCAATATGTAAATTCACATATATCTTATAAAATTTTGAATAAAAGAACTCTAATTTTTTGCAGGTGTGCCTAGAAATGCATCTATCTACTTTAAGATGATGTTAAAAATTTTTTAGGTTATAATACAAAAATGTCTTAAAAAAATTTATAAAAATATTTTAAAATACAAATTTTAAAAATAAATTATAAAAATTGTGTGAATTGTATTTGGATTAAGCCTAAATTGCAAATTCTGGAAGAAGGAATCAAGTAAGTTTAATTAAAAAAGAGAGATTAATAAATATATATCAAATTCAATTAACACTGAGGAACTAAAATTTTGAGAGCTAATTTTTTAAAAACTACGTGTGAGATTTTTACAAAACTCGGCAGTTTGGCATAATTTGAGTCGTAGAATCAAAATATAGAAAAAAATTGGCATGTCATTTCAGAAGAAGTCTGATATTGTGTCAAAATACCTATATTAGAACACTGCTATATATAAATGTAATACATATCCTAGGTTGCACTTACAAGACATGAAAAACCCAAGTTGAATTTTATCAATTGGCCCAGCAGAAAGAGAGATATAGAACTGTCCCCTCCTCTTTTTTTTTTTTTTTTTTTTTTGTTTGTTTTGTACAGTGCACCTTTCACCATTTTAACAGTATATTATTTATCAACATAACAATATTCATGTTGCTTCTAATAATACTGAGTGAGCTCATACTGGAATTTTCCAGGAAATATCTGCACAGATTGTCATAATTCTTTAATTTATCATATTTCCATATCTTTACCAGTCAAACTTGTATAACATGTTATGATATTAGTTACAGTAATCACACAACACACATGAATTGATTGAGAAGTTTCAGAGTAGCTCGTAGCAATGTTTATAGAAATCCATACTAAAGCAAATAACTAGATGCATTTCTAAAAGAAGCAACTACACATTATAATAACATGGAAAAGCTCTTGGGGGAAAATATTTGCTCATAAATCGAGAGATATCTGATCAATTTTAATCCCTCCTTATCATTTTTTCTGTGTCAATTATTCACGTCAAATTCTGCCATGATAGCACAATATTTCCAGCTGTTCATGTTTCTTGACAGTTATATTTCACTTGCTTCTCATATTATTCTTGTATTTTATACCCTCTGTATGTTTGTTGGCTGTGTTTTTTTCATTATTTACATGTTAAGATACAGAACTAGCAAATAATTTTTCTAAATATACAGTTTTTTTCACAGAATATCTAGCTACTACAGTATCATTCTCTTAAATGGGAGGTGGGAGAGTTAATTTTTTAATTAAGTACAGAGGGTGTTTACACAATTTTAGAAGCATTTCAATAAAGAATTTTAAAACAGCAAACATTTTACAGTAAAAATTTCTACCAACTGCTTATTATTTCAAATAAGAATGTTATCTGCTACTTTTAAAACTGTATAAATTTATTCTTTTTTTCAAAATGTTGCAAGCTGTGCATTGAAGGATATGTTTTTGTACTTTCCAAAGATAAGTATTCCTATTTTATTTTATAATTTAAAAAATATCGTGAAATGCATGATATTAAAATTTTTAAGAGCAAAATAAGAGAATTATTAATTGGAAAGGGAAAAAAAATGTCAGTCATTACTTCTACATAGAAAGAAGACTTCAAATAAATACCGGATAAAGGTGCATACTGTTTCTAAAATTAAATCAAAGGTAACAAGAGAAAAATCCACCAATGCAAAAATTAATTGCAAAGTCTTTAAATACACCTGTAGCAACAATAACTAAAATAATAAACCAAGATTTACAACTGAAAAAAAAAAAGCTAAAAAACATAATGCTCACCAGCTTTTGCTTAGGCATCTGGCTCAATGCAGAACAATTTGCAGAACCCTGTATGAAAACTATTTAGCAGGAAATAAATGGTATTACATTGTGACCTTTAATGAAACATGGATTTGCTTAAATGAATGCAACAAAAAAAGTTCTATTTGATATCAAAAATAAAGAAGAAAACATATACAAACCAGGTTCCATCAATGCAAAGAAAGTTTCGATAAGAGGTTTATGATTGTCAAGGAATTTTCTTGTAATAAGAAACTAAAAATGAGAAGCGTGGGAGGGATGTTAAAACTTAATCAATATACTATAAAGAGAAACTTTTATGTCCGATATTTATAAAAGAAATTGCAAAGTGTGATCTGTTGAAAAGCATTGCTGCATTCCTTGAGAAAATGAAGACTGATACAGGTATTGCATATATATCTTTTCAACATATTCCTGAAAAGTTCTCAGATGCTCCAACCATGCACTACCACGCCTTTTGTCTCTTGAAAAGAGCTCTCTTGGTAAGTGCAAACCCATGATGGTTCATGTACTCTGGAAAGCAGTGGAAGAGGAATGGAAATCAACACCCTTGGAAATTTTAAGTCCTTCTATCATGAAAATCATCATGTAGACTTACAGTCCAGAAAAAAAAAAAAAAAAAAAAAAAAAGCTATCAGATTAAACATTAAAAAAAATAATCTTTACATTTTAAACATAATTAAATGGCTCCAAAATCATTTTAAAAATGCACAAATGCCCTCAATACAGTATCAAAACCTCTTAAAATAATATTTCAGAATTTGAATCATTTTTATATGTTTAATTTCTTAATATATATATATATATATTATAATTCAGGCTACATAGGGTCACCAGGCTTTTAACACATAAAAAAAATATTAATTTGCATTTTATAAATATTTTAAGAATTATTTTGACATAAATATTTATTTTCTCATATTTTAATAATTGTTTATCCCCTTATTTTTTACCTCAGGTAAGTGCCCCACTTGGCACATCTTTGTACCACACTGATCAGAGTACCCTTTAACAATAACAGAATAAATTTCACACAGCAGACTTAGAATTCACAGTTGGTATTTCAAAAACAAATGATTATCACCAAAGCATAAATGAGAAATGGAGTCAAAGTTAAAGTGAAATACATACCGATCTTTCTTCATAGGAGCTTTTAGAATATACAGATCTCCATTTCCATGCAGAAGAAAAATAGGCCAAATGGTCTCTTCTTCATATACTTTTGTTAACCTTGTACTATCAGATTGAGGCACGTTCATAATTTCAGGAGGTCCAAAATCAAAACCTACTGTATTTTCACCAAAACAAGTAGAAAATGTTATTTTTGATTCAGAAGACAAATAAGAGCTTTTTGAGCACGCTCCAAGTGATATGACTTGCTGGGGTGCCTGCGGATCTGTTACATCATATATCCTATAAGCATAAAGAGCATGAGAAAATGCAGTAAGAAATTAGAAAAGGCAACTTAAAATAAATAAAATGATTAGCTTTCGTTTAGTTTCAGTAAAACAGAAGGAAGCAATCAACCAGAAAATATTTAAAACTTGCCAATATGAACCAAACTGTAAACATTTGAAAAGATTTACATAGCTCCAATTAATTACATACAATATAAATATATTTTAAATACCAGACATGGAAAACCAGGGGGGGAGGTTAAAAAACACTTTGGATTAAGTTTTCAAGATTTTTCATTAAATTTTTACTAATATTCCTTTTAAAATATTATCATATTCTAAATGTTTAGAATTTAAAATAAAACTTCAAACTTTTCCCCATTCACATGGCATTTTTCATTACTTAAAAAAATACTCATAATACCAAATATAGGAGAATTTACTCATAATACCATTACAGGAGAATTTATTAAGTTCCTTTCTTAAAATTCATCAAAATCTGAACACAAGAGATATTTTTCAAATAATCTCAGGAAATTTATATTACTGAAACAGAAAGTGAGCCAAAATCTCTAGTATTTAAATTAGTAATTAAAGTTTACAATATGGTAATCCAATTTACTTTGGTGTAAACTCAAGTTTCCAGTATTACAATACATAAGCATATCATATATAATACAATTTTTCATCTACAGTTTCAAAAGTAGTTTTCTGTGAGCCGTTCTTCTTTCTATATTCATATTCTATTCCCTATCCTTTTTTTAGACCAAAAAGATAAAAAGAAAATAAAAGTTTTACAAGTTTAAAAATGTATTTTAAAATTTTATTGCTTTAGGTTTATACCCTCCACACTTTATGCATATAACTAGTGCATACAAAACCAATAATGCTTAAATATATGTATTTAAACCAAATTTAGTGAAACCATCAAATACTAAAACGAAAAATTGCAAAGCCCCTCTCTCTCTTGTAAATTTAATTTAATGATTAGGTACTTGTTGGGTGAGCATGAACTCAGCATATCAGTCATTTAGCAACTTCATTTCTGAAAACAATATCCAGGATACATTGTATCATATACTTTGATTATATGAGGTGACTGATATTACACTGAAAGAGAGAGGTGAGACGACATACACAGGCAAATCTTACACAAGTCAAATCTCACTCTTGATTTGTGGCAAGCAGCCAGCCTATTACTTAGGTCGTAATTAGGTGCAAAAGAGATTTGAATCAGGTTTCCTGGACAATAGCTGCATCCTGAGTAGAATAGATAGCAATGACATGGCTTTTGATGGCATAACATGGCCATATTTTGAAGTGAGAATCGAGGAAAATATTAATTTTCATGAGAGGCATGAGCGAGTCTTGGAGATAGAGTTACTCTGCGAAAACGACGTGAATGTTACAGCAATAAATTAGCTAAGTTGAAGTAGTTGGAGACATGAGGCAATTACAGGCATAATGTAGAGTGAGCTTCTGAGCAGCGTGTGTATTCAAGTCCGAAATGAATGTGTAAGCATCGAAGTCTGGTCGAGCAGGCAGAGCTTAACTGGTCATATTATCAAAGAGCCAAGGGCATAGCTGGTAAGAGAGTGGAATTCCAAACAAGTCAGGCATCGGAGGGTGACAGAGCTTATCAGGAATACTTATTTTGATTATAACTGCCAAAAGAAATGGGAACATGGAGTGAAAACCATAAAAGATTTGGGTCTTTAAGGTATTAATAGCATAGAAAAATGCAGATTAAGTTAAATACATTAATTTAGACACAGTAGAACCACTCTCGGTCGTTTTGTATTGCTTTGATCTGAGCAGCTGTAATCCATAAGAGGGATTGCAGATATTTTTAAAGAATTTCTTTCTAATTTTTGCAATACATACATCAATCTTATCAACATTTAATTCATTGTGAATGGCATCATTCCTAACATACCACTGGCAGTTTGCCATTTGTCTTAGTATTACATTTTGAATTTGTTGAATCTTTTCCATTTTTGAATTCTTACCTATTCCTCTACTTCACTCTTACCTATGCCTGCCTCAGCAACAGAGTCTTATACACGAGTATCTTATTTTTTAAAGAAAGAATGGAGTTTTGGGCAATTAAGGGGTTGAGTCAAGCTTTAATACCCCGAAACTTATTAAAAATATATGTAACTTGTGGCTTTGTACTTCAAATTAATATTCAAAAATAGGTACATGCTGTTTCTAAAGTTAAATTGTTGGTAACAACAGAAAATCCGGCAATGCAAAAATTGCAACAATGAAGAAAAATGAAAATTACTGAAAATATTCAGTCATTTCTTATTATGGAGGGCCTCCCAAAACTGAATCACTAATCAACTGAGATATTTCGCTGAAACCTCACCACATTTCCTTATATCTCGCTACATATTACATCTCAGATATTTAGCAATTTAATTTTGGGGTCGATACACTAAGGAAGTACCTAACATTCATTAACAAAAAATTTTATCCCACCTGATATAATTATCTGAACTTAAAACAGTAAGATGTGTATTTGAAGAACTTCCTGGATGCCATGCAGTTTGAACAACATTAATTCTATTAGAACAAACAAAAAAGTATTCAGCGACATTCCATGACCTGAAAAAAAAAGTTAAAAAGGAATGAAAATTTTCATCAGAATAAATTATTTAGCATCAGTCAATGAATTATCATTTTTAAGCAGACTAACAGCAAAAAATATACAAGCAAAATTGTTAACAATAATTTCTTACAAAACAAGTTAACAAATTTATCTCCAAAATAATAATCTTTATTTAAAGTATCAAACATAGAATACAGAAATCTGTTGAATGGTATCAATCTTTCTTTATAATCAGTAAATGCATTTATTTATTAAAAAAAAAAAAAAAAAAAAAAAAAAAAAAAAGACATGCTATTTTCTTGAAATAAAGGTGCTTATTGCATTTTGAAAGTAATAGAAAAACTACGAATTCATCTTCAGTTGGACAACTGATCACTGGTTTTTAAGAATAATTCTAATGATTCTTAAAACCAATAGCCTGATTATTTAACGTGAGAAAATGAATATTGTAAAAAGAAACTTTTGCACTCATTTTCACAATTCTGATGTTTAAAAATTGTTGATTATTTCAACTTGTGATCACTACAAGCAATAGTTATTATAACTTATCTTCTAATTTAGCTGTCTACATTAAAGGATTTATTGTGCATACTTTTCAAATTCCAATCAGAGCAACTAGCAAAAAATAATATTTTCTTACTTTCTGAAACAAACTAAGACATCTTTTTATTAAAATTAAACCTAAGCATAATTTGAACTTTTTTGAAGTATTAAACATTCATAATTACTCTCAATTATACAATTACACTTTGAAGTTTTTCTCAGATACACTTTTCACATTTATGTTCATTCAATAAATGTATTTTCACTGTTTCCTGTGCATGTCTAAACATTCTAATACATCAAATCTTTTCTACACTCTGAAAAATACATAAAATTGCAGTATTTATTTACTAAAAAAACTCTGTAAAAATTTATTTAAATAATAGCACTGTCAGCGTAGATATTCTATAAAAATGTAAATGCAAATGATATCACCAAATATTAAAAACCATAATTATTTTACTCAAAACTGGACTAGGTACTTCCTGATTATTATAGCCCTAATGGCAGCAAGACATTGTTAACTTTCTAATGTATGTCACATACCATCACCAGATGGCCAAATCTCAGTCATGTATTATCTAGCCATTCCAGCTCTTGGTAGGCCATGTGTTATCAGTGCATTTCTTTTTTTTTTCTGTTTTCAAGCCGAAAGGGGCGTTAGACCCAAAAGGCTATTAATCTCAAAATGGCATTTTGCATCATTTCACTTTCTTCGTTACTTCACTTTTCAAACTGTTGCCACCAAATATTATCACCATGTATTATAGTAAAACAAACTAAATAATGATGAATCTGCATTAATGTTTCTCACATTGTGAAAAAACAACAGTACCTACAACCATCAAATTCTGAATAATATAGTCCTCCAACCGAACATGGGCACTTGGAAGCCTGAATTTTGAATTTGTTTTATCATCTATTTCAAATTTTGTAAAACTTTAACGAATTTTTGATTAACAAACTAAATGATTTTAAAGTGAGCAATGGCAACACTATATGGAAAAAACATTTTTATCTCCAGTGCACAAGACTATATATAAAAAATTCTAAATATATGCTGTTTTGTTGTTCTTAAATATTTAGTGATATTGCTGTTGAATTTTATGTGGTTTTAATGCAAAGAACATGATATTTAATAAATGTAACACACAAAACATTAAAAAAAAATGCCCATCTGGGTACAATATAAAATCTAAAAGCTTTCAGGGTTTCTTTTTCTTTCTTTCTTTCTTTCTTTTTTTTTTTTAATTAACAATTTTTGATTTACTAAGAAGTGAGGAAGATGGTAAAGACTTCCAGCTGTCTGATAACAGTTTCTGACACAAGCTAGTAATTTATTGATAATTGTGCCACCATTTAAAATAACAGAAGTTGTAATAAGGAAACATTACATAATTTTTTTACAGATGCTAATTCTAAAATACAGTCAAAGTCGTTAATCCGGACCCCTCGAATTCTATAATCCGGACCTCAAAACAAAAATTCCGCCGCGCACGTTTCGCATACATGTGCATAATACGTTTACGCATGCGCGTTTAATGTATAACGGACGGTATATAGCTAAGCTAAAATAATCTATTTCAGTTAATGTTGCAGATTGTGTTGTTCCTTAATCTTCTAATTGGATACGGCTTATTATTTTTCTTTAGACTATTAGAGCAATTTAATAAAAGTAAGTTGGAACTTTGATTATGTCAAACACAATTTCCGATGCTGGATCTACAAAGGGAAAGCATGTTTCATGTCCATCAAAAAAAAGTGGAATTGCAAAAAATGGATAAGGGCTCCTTGTTTCTCCATTCAAATCTGTTTATCAATTTCAGCTTCTGCGGGGGGGGGGGAGTCCGCGCGCAATGAACTGGAAGTTGATCTGTCAGCACTATCCCTATCTTCAGGGCAGATGTTTTTATTTTATTCGGCTTATAATTCCTTACTAAATGTAGTATTTCATGTCAATGTACTCTGTCTTTGATATGATTTAAATTCCTTGTTATTATAAATATCACGAATACACATCAAATAGTTTTCTGGTTGCATTTTTCTAATTTCTAATTTCGCATAGGCCTAATGTATACTTTACGCATGCGCGCGTTGAAAGAAATGTTTAATAAAGTAAACAAATAAATATTAAGCTTTTGTAAATTTTGATATCCTTTAGATCATAATTGTTCTTTATTTCATAATTTATGGTTTAATATTTTTAATTTTATAATTTCTGCATGCCATCTTACCAGATTTAAACTGATGATCTGTAATCCGGAAAAACCGATAACCCGGAATCGCCAAAGTCCCGACGATTCCGGATTAAAGTGTGTGTGTGTGTGTGTGATTATGGCAAAGCCTCGAGGGCCATCTGCCTAAAGGGAGGGATGCCTTTCGTGGAGGACTTTCTAAGGGAAACTGGCTCATATACACGTTACACATGGGGAAAACCACAAAAACACCCATGCAGCCAGCCCGTTCGCGAGATTCGAACCTCGGACCGAACTACCAGTGTTCAGCGACTTTACCGCTTGGCCACTGGTGGGCCCGGATTAAAGACTTTTGACTGTAGTAAAATGCCAAATCATCAGAACTGTTACAACACGACCATGTGCACTGTATAAAGTGTGTATATAATATAAAGAAAACATGATTTCTTGAATATTTTGTTGCTATTCTAAATGTTAGGTTTTTTCTAACATGATTTCGACAACATTTGGGTACTATATTTTTAGATTTTGAAGCATTCTGTAGAACTTTAAAAGTGATTAGATTTTTAACATATTTATAAATAAATTTACAAACTGAATATCTGTGATCATAATTAGAGCCCACTAATGGTCGAATAGTTAAACTGCTAAATACTTCTTGCTCGCCATGGATTTGAATCCATTGAATGGCCTGGCTGTTTAGGAATTTTTGTAGTTTTATCAGGGTCAATGTTCCTTCTAACCTTCTTCGGGAACATACAAGGACCTGACTCGGAACAGAGAGCTTACTAAAGCTATGTTCACTAATTGTGGTACGTAGACAGGATACAGACGAAGGGTATACAAAACCCTTTATTTTTCTCTATATACAATAACTTCCGTACTTCGGAATACAATGACCCTCCACTCGGGGTCTAACGTAAAAGTATAAAAAATAAAACTAAACTCTAATTTAACTTTAGAATAATACACGTGGAAGATTGGCCTTATAATAACAGGAAGCGTATGTAGCACAGAGACTGTGAACACTACAATACGTTTAATTTATCAAGAGGATTAAAACCTCTGGCCTGGAAGGCAAACCAGCAACTGCGTAAAACTTCTAAGGTAAGCGGCCTGCTTCGAACTCAACTGCTTCCTCTCCTTCGCTTGGCAAAAAGGCCACACTTAAATACTTGGCGTTCGCCAGACAACTTTGCATAAAATCCTTAACGCTTATAATTCTGGCCGGAAGTAGAAAATAAGAAGTGATAGTAAAGATTTAAAATAAAATAAACGTTAGTAAAACTTAAGATCCTTACATACTTCCCGCCAGAGTTAATTAGTTTGAAACTGAGGTCTAAAACGACCTTGTTGAAAACTTTTAGCTCTAGAATCTAACGCGAGGCCAATCTTTTACAAACATAACTTCTCGCTAGAAACTAGAAAATTTAAAAAGAAAGAAATTTGTTACAATAGCAGCTCCCGGAATATACAACAATTTTTTTTTTCATCTGTACTGCATCTAAACAGGAGCTTTTATTCAATTCTGGTTCCTTCCAGAGATCTGGAAGGAAAACTAGTTTAATGAAATGTTACACAATGACATGGCAAGTAACATGATACAATTATACTTTCTCTTAACATTCTTATTTCATTCATGACTATTTTAATTATCTCTCCCCGTGCTCTCTGACATGTGTTGTAAAAGAACACCAAACACGAATGTGTTTCTGTCTATGTGTTCAACACTTCCTCCTACAATCAAAACACTAACGTGTTAAAATTCAACATACGAGACCTCTTAACACACCCTAATTTCAACTCTAAACCCTGAGGTACTATTCTGAAAGTGGCTAACTCTAAAGTGTAGCGTCAGAGAGCCTAACTACATCATTCATTCAACCTTTAACACATATTCACATGATTTAATCTTTACAGTCACACGAATAACAAATTTTTAACATTACTTTCACTTTTACCATATCACGGTATTTCTTAACATTCAAAATAACAGTTCACATTGTATACAAGAACATATCAACATGCCGTTAATTTTACACATTTGAAAACATACATTAGTAGTACATTGTTAACTTCTATTCTTTTCAAAGCAAGTGCCAATTCTTTCTACATTGAAATAATACTACATTTCAAAAAGTCTTTCAGACTAAAACTTCTTTCTTGCCAGAATGTTTTAAATAAAATTTTATACAATAACTTTTTACAATATTTAAGTCTTTACACAACGCTATTATACATCAACTTTAGTTTTACGC